GGGGAGCGACAAAGCTTCCCCACCGTGCAAAGGCACCGAAGAGAATAATGGAGGCACGCACGCACTCCGTCGTGTTGCTCTGGTACAAAGGGACGTTTTGGGGGAATCGATCCAGTTAACACCCGAGGAACGGCAGAAGTGGGCAAAATTGAAGGAAGAGTTCTCTGATGTACCCAATAACAAAGAGCTACCGGCGGGCAGGCCACCCGCTGGACGCTCTATGCACCGCATCGAACTCATCCGCGGCTCAGCCCCAAGCTTTGTTCCACGGTACAGGCGACCCCCGCATCTGGAAGAGGAAATTGAGCGGTAGGCAGACGAACTTCTGAAAAAGGGCAAGGTTCAGCCGTCAACTAGCGCCTTTGGGCACAATCCCGTACTGGCGAGGAAAAGGACGGCAGCTGGCGCATGTGCGTTGACTTCAAGCCCCTCAACAAGATTACAGTGAAGCAGAAGTTTCCGATGCCCAGAGTGGACGAGATCCTCGACCGCCTACAAGGTTCAGCGGTATACTCAGCATTTGACTTCGCTGAGGCCTTCTTGCAGATCCATATTCACCCTGAGGACAGGCACAAAACGGCGTTCCACACCCGCACTCGCAAGGTGGAGTACACTTGTATGCCATTTGGCCTCGTGAATGCACCTGGTGAACTGCAGAGGCATGTCAATCACGACTTCCTGGGGCCATTCGCCGAGGGGTGGGTGGTGATATACATGGATGATGTGCTTGTGTTCAGCCGAAATGTGCAGGAGCACTCGCAGCACCTCCGGCGGGCGCTCCAGCTACTGCGTGAGAAGCAGGGGTTCGTTAAAGCGCAGAAGTGTTCGTTTTTCATGCAAACAATCAGTCTCTTACGATTTCGTGTCTCTGAAGCAGGGGTTCAACCAGATCCGGTTAAGATCAAGGCGATTCAGCGATGGCCGCTACACCTGTACACGAGGACGGACGTTCAGAAGTTCCTCGGGCTCGCCTCATACTATCGCAATTTCATTCCTCAATCGCTCGTATTGTTGGATCTCTGACTGATCTTCCTAAGAAGGAGAAGCAGACGATTTGGATGGAGAACGAGGATGAAGCCGCCCGACGCCTGATCGGGCACCTGACATCATCCCCAGTACTCGCGCTGACTGACTTTGATAAATCCTTTTTCCTCACGACTTATCCCAGTGACACTGCTATTGATGCTCTTTCGATCCAGTAGCCTGCTCTCTCAGCAGGCTATTGGATCGAAAAAGCATCAAATAATAGTTTGCTACTTACACCGTTTAACAGAGAGGGAACAAAAATAGCCGGTCAGGGAAAGGGAGCTTTACGCGGTCTGGTGGGGCGTTAAAAAGTGACGGCATTACCTGTACTGCAGGCACTTAACGGTCCAGACCGATCATCAATCACTGAAACACCTGAGGAAGAGTTTTCAAGACTACGATAACGAAAGAGTGTTTTGGTGGCTTTCCCGGCCCACGTAGTTCGACTTCGCTGCCAAGTATATTAAGGGTACCACCAATGTGGTCGCCGACGCACTCTCCAGACGCCCTAGAGGTCAGGCACAATGTTGTCCAACCGCACTTCTCTGTGATTATTCTCGCTTTCTCTCCAAATTGCGTCCTTCCTGTTCCTTGGATACTCATGCGGCTGCTGTGCTAGCTCAGCTCAACAATGGGCGACGGGTCAAGCACTACACCATCGATGGTGACCTCCTGTGGTACCAAGCGAAGCATGGTGTTCGTATATTGTACGTTCCGGCCTCGCTTCGCAAAGACATTTTGCGCAAAATGCATGATCTTGCTTTAGCAGGTCACGATGGGGTCAATACAACGGTGAAGTTTCTTGCCAGGCCCTTTGGGTAGCCTAAGATGCGCCCCTCAGTCGAGGCTCCTCTCTTTTCCAGACTGCCAACACCAAAAGCCCCGCAACACCCTCAAAGTCGGACTCCTGCGAAGCCTGCCTATTCCTGAAAGGATATGGACATTTCAATGCAATGGATTTGATCGTGGGCTTACCGCACGCTAGATGCCATGATATCATCTATGTCGTAGTGGATCGACTTAGCGAATACGCTCATTTTATTCTTTGCTCGAGCACCGTCACAGCAGAAGGAGTGGCTCAGCTATTCATTGATCATCTGGGGATGCTCCACGGGCTCACCAAAAGCATAATTACCTACAGGGATCCGAAGTTCACTAGGGACTTCTGGCGCACCCTCGTGCAACGGCTCAACGTTGAGCACAACATGACCACCGCCAACCACCCGAAGGCAGATGTTCACACCAGACGAACTAACCGCTTTCAAGTTCAGTACTTGCGACTTTACACCCAACAGCACTCCTAACTGGATTGATTTTCTTGCTTTTGGGGAATGGGTTTATAAAACTACAGTCCACTCGTCACCACGTTGCCCTCCCGCTTCCCGCGTCTACACAGAAACTCCTCTAGTTGAACCGTCGGTGCACCTCGCTGTACTAGGCCAGCTCCGAATGACCGCTACCGGTGACTTCCGCACAGTGTTCGCGGCAAACGCGGGAATGGATGCGAAAAGCACAGGAATGCCTAGCTATAAACTACGCCAAATGACGTTCAGCCGTTACTTTCAACCGAGGTAACTTTGTTCTAGTGCATTATCACGCCCTCCCTAACGGGCATGGGGGCGACCAGCCCAAAACATTGGCAACACCACGTGCTGGGCCTTTGCCTGTCCGCTCTCGGGTTAATCTATTTGCCTACATCGTTGACTTAATCTCGACATGGAGATGCCATCACACAATCGCAGGCCCTGAGGCGAACGCCCAGGATGCCTGGGGAGATAGGCGCGCGGTCAGCTGTTTTTGTAGAAACTCTTGCTTCAAATACTTACCTTCATTGCAGCTCGCTTCTGTCCTTGAATAGGACCGGAAAGTAAACATTACACTCTGGGCAAAACGGCAGCAGCGTCACAGCGACAGGAAACTACAGGTCCTGCACACGAGCATAACGGACGCCGCACGAAACGAGAATATTATGTTAAACGAGGAGGACGCCGTGAGCTAGACTGCATATCTGAGGGGCAACAACAGCAGTAACTAGCTTAATCATAACTATGAGATGCGTTACCCATGGTCACGCTTTCAGTTTACTGCTGTTGTTGAGGGCGTGAGCACGGGCAACGCACCTCATAATTACGATTAAGCTACAGTTGCTTTGCCACGAAGAGCGACTAGCTCATACATGTGCTTGGTTTCAAGAAGAATTTCCTTCGCTGTTGTGATCCTTCGTCTTCCGTCAACGAGTAGCTCGCTCGGTGCCTCTGCCGGCTCCAGCTTCACTTTTTTTATACTGGTGCAGGTACCTACATTTGGGGGCCTGACCCCTGCTCATCCATTCATGGGAGCAGCGTAGTGGACAGCGATTCAGTGCATACTCTTCACTATCTTGGGACGCACGTTCCAAATGAGGCTCCCAACCCAATTGTGCTGTCTGGAAGGCAGCATACGGCCGCTGGAAACGACGCTGAGACGCTTTAAGCACAACGGCTGGGTCCGTAGCGGCAGCAGTACAACGGAGGCGCCCCCGTGGATGGTGATTGTCTTGTTCCCTTTCCAGGTTTATTGTTTTCGCTTTACTACGTTCGACGAAGTCCGCGCAAACGTGTGCCACCTGAGGGCCAGTGGATGTAGCATGGCCAATGTGAAGCTGTATGTGTGTCACTACTCGCCTGCTGGCTGGATATGGAGGGACAAGTAAGGGTTAAACACGCCTCTATAGCTTTAGTTAATGCAGCAAAAGGCGGTCTGCTTGTACATGCGCGCAAGGTTGCCTTGCAGCAGTCCTTCCAGCGAGGTGCGTTGCATCGCATGTTAGACCTCCGCCAATTCGCCGGCTCCAGGCCCTTCAGTAGCTGGGCTCACGCCGCATGTGAACTGGAGAGCTTGGTACAACCGTTCTCGAAAATATTTTCTCAAGTATTCCGATTATACTACACCATACGACCGTCCTCGAACATGACCGCGGATCCGGCTTAGGCATTGCCTGTCCGAAGCGAAGGCAGCACAGGAAGATTCACTGGGCCTCAATAGATTGCAGACAAGCAAACACAAATGCTCAATAAGTGCCTATAGGGATAATCCATGGGGCAAAAAAGGTTTGGCTGTGCTAGCATGTGAAACTGTTTTGCTTCATTAGTTGCTGGGGTTCTGCCGGGGATCTCAAGCTATACCTAAATGATTTCGAGCCGAAACGTCGAAATTCTAACTTCTAGAAATGTCTTGATGAAAACTATTTCGTATTTTCTACAATGGGAACGAAAATCAGCCAAGACAACGAACAAGCCGGGTGCCATTGTTAAGTGCAGCGAAATCGGAGACTGACAGTTAAGCGTACTGGTCGACTACTCTGATAGGCATGCAGGGAGACGAGCAACCTGGAACCTGGTCACAATAAGAAACATTTTTTGAGAAGCATGGTTTACTGTATGTTCGGCTACTGACACTAACGGGTTGCCCGTGGGTCGGGTCGTATGCTGCGCAATATCATTCACGTTACTAACTAATATTGCCGCTCTCTCTCTAAGACAACTTATACTACCACCTCCTTGTAGCGCGCCACTCTACACTGGCACAGGCGCAGACAGCGCCATGGCTATCCGTGTATCGCGAGGCACAGGAATATATTTACAAGAGAACTGAGTTCCTTAAGAGTGGGGTATGATGTACTTATAATGTGTGAGCCAGTAGCTCACAGCAATGCATACGTACAAGGATTTATCTATTGTAGCCAGCTAGGGAGTCACTTGTAGGAGCCAACCTGGACTTACGACGCTACACCAACTGCGTGCTCGCTGATGCAGTTTCTGAGGCTAAGTTTCGCCCATCAGAGCAATCCTAAGAGAATCATTCTGTAAACGAAGAGCAGAAGGAATACATATCGCGGCAGCAGCAGCACTAGCAGCAGCAGCAATAGCAGCATTAACAATAGCAGCAGCAGCAACAGAAACAGCAGCAGCAAAAACAGCAGCGGCAGCAGCAGCTGCAGCAACAGCAGCAACAGCAGTAGCAGCAGGTCCAGCAGCAGCAGTAGAGATAGCAGAAGCAGCTCAGCAGAGGGTACAGCAGTATACATGCAAACAAAAGGAAAGAGACAAACGAAAATAGACAAACAAGAAGAAATAGACAAACAAGAGGAAAGAGACAAGCAAAAAGAAAGGATACAAATAAAAAAGAAAGAAGAAAAATGCTGACGCGGATTCGCTTGTCGTTGTCTTGTTTCTTCCTTCACCTCCTCCTGTGTCTCCGGCGAGCACCCCCATAAACTCTGAACCCTCGACCCTAAGCGCAGGAGCCTAGTCGACTGGTTATAGGAGTGCCATCCTGGGTTTCGGATCTAGGAGTGCTTAAGGGACTCCTGAGAGCCCCCTCCAAGATCTCTTAAGGACCTCCAATGCCTTTGGGGGCACCCCTCATCCTTCCGGGGCCCCTACGGCGCACCGGGGGGCCACCCTCTGTCATTGGGGGCCCCTCTGTACCCCTATGGCATTGGGGAGTTCCCTGTGGCATTTGGGGTCCCCCTTTGTGCCCTTGGAGGCTCCCTATACGCCCTTGGTGGTCATCTGTTGCTGTGGGGGGGCCTTGTGACATTGCGGGGACACTAAGGCGGCAGTGCTTTGTTGAGCCCCCCCCTGGATATTGCAGTCCCGCATCGAGGGCTTCTTGTGCTGCTGAGGAGGCCCCAAGGTCTGGACTTTATGCTGCTACGAAGGCCTCTCCATCTCTCCGAAGAAGCAGCAGCAGCAGCAGCAGTTGCAGCAGCAGCAGCAGTTGTAAGAGCAGCAAAAGGCGCAGGGATGTGTGCGACCCGCAGCAAGAAGGCAACGCACACGAAGACACGCCAAAGGGCCCCTCAAAGGTGTTGCAGTAGCTGCTGCTGATGCTGCTGTTCGATGGGCAGAAGCAAGACGATACTCACCGATGGACAGGGAGGCCGACTCGCTTCCCCTCCATAGCAGAAGGGCGGAGGGAGAAGGAGCTCCCGATTGGGGAGGTGGTACTGCTGCTGGTGGTGCTGCTGCTCCTGCAGAAGGCCCTTCCCCTTTGAAATGGCTGCCGAGGTATTAGGGGCCAACGACCGCCGTAGTAATGAAGGCACGACCCAGCTGCTGCTGCAGGGTGGTATACACACAGACAGCCGCAAGCAGTCGCAACAGCCCCAGAAGGCGATGGAGACACGACGACATCTGCTGCAACTGGTAGCATAGCCTTCCTCCTTCAAGCATGCGAGTACCTGGATATGCATCTGCTCGTCAGCCGCAGTGAGCGTACTCGAATCTCACACACTGCAGCGGGAAAGCCATCCTATAGAAAAAGTTAGGAAAAAACGGTAGCATTCTGCCAAGACTGCAAACACCGCAATGGAGCTGCGCCGGACTCGTAAAGCCACTCGGCCGCCTGACCGGAAGAAGCAGCGAAATATGCACTGCGCAAACAAAAGGCACCGAGAAGTCTACAGAATAAACAGTTACACATGGCTCGCGCGACGGGGCAGTGCTGATGTGGAGCCAAATCCACATCGGCGCAAAAGGTGCCTGAAGAGAAGTGTTGCCGATTGCCAAAAACGCTTACTACGAGACGCCAACAGGAGAGCGTAACTCGCCAGTGCACAGCAGGTTCAGACACATACTGAATATTACGTATAATGCTGCACTCAAAGCCAATGCTCATGCGTATACACCACTGCCTGACCTGTCACAAAAGCACCACTCTTTCAATGAATAGCACGGATATATCAGAAATGGGGACAAAGTTGCAACAGCGCCTCTCGAGTTTTCCGAAGCCTTTTCTAACCCTGCGCTGCACCATGAAGATCAGCGAGCGCCTTGTCCATTGCCTGTTTAAGCTGGGAAGACCTCGCTGATTCAAGCAGAGTCCAGATTTTCAGGCATAACTGTAAAATTGTGTCTGCATGTCCAGGTACCGCGGCAGAGCTTTGACTGTCCCTGGCCAGTGCCTTTTCAGAGTCATACTTCTCCTTCAGAATTCCTATCTGACTCCACTCCGGTGCTTCTAGGTGGAATGGAAAAATGAAAACAGTCCTTAGTGTATCATCATACGACTCAAATTCCTTTGCTAATCTCTTAAAATATCCCAGTAACATCAAGGAAGCTGCTCCCTGTGCTTTCGCCTTCGCTATCTCCACCCTCAGGTTCGTCTTCACATCCAGTGCAGTGGATCCAAATCCCTGCTTATCGAGCTTGTACTTTGCTCCCTTCTTCGCCTTCTCGAGCATATCTTGCACCTTCATCCAATGGTCCCTCGCCGTAGTGTCTATGTGGCGCCATCGCTCGGAGAAATACTTCTTCACACCAGTCGCGGCAGCGCTGTCAGGGTTTATACCAGCCTCTCCTGACTCAGCAGTGCCGGCCTTTTTCTTGGATGTTAGCATTTGCAGCAACGCCTTGCTGGCAGATACGCCGGGAGTCTCTTCATGTTTTCCGCTAATCTCTGAATTCACAATCTGCAAGTAACGCCAGCACTCTTCGCCGTCTTCAACGGCAGTTTCAGCAATTTTCGCCATGGCCTCATTCGCAGCGCTCGCCTCTTCCTTGGTGAGCGGCTGACGCTCCAGAGTTGTATGCAACCTGTTCTTTTGCACCTCCAATAAGTAATTGAGCTTTTGGTTGAACATATTCGCGCGTTCGTACGCAGCGGAAACACCCGCGTAGTCCTGCGCAGTCTCCAGAGCTTGCACATCCGCATGTTGCTGAGCAAACATCTCTCTGATGGATTGTATATCTGCGTCAGTTATTCCAGAAGGTGAATGGCCAGCAGTTGCTTGACGACTCTTTGACAATAGCAAATTAAGTTCCTGAACCAAATTTGCTTCCACCTCGAGCGGGATCCGGTCGAGCTGAAGCATCCCCTTCATCCAAATCTTTTGGAACTCTAGAATGTCTCCTTTCAATGCCTTGTCCAGTGCAGAGAAGCGCTCCAACATTTTCATCCTGAAGTTCAGAGCAGCAGTGGCTGCGTAAATGTCGACGAAACCACGTGGTTCGTACTCGTCTATGAATTGTGCTGACCTCAGTATCCTAAGCTGGTCCTCATTTTCCTGTTTCAGAGTTATAGAGACATCTCCCAGAAAAGCCAGAGTATCTAAAGAGGCCTTAGCCGGTGCGATATCCCAGCACTTCGCCAGGGGCTTCCGCAAACGCTCGACATTCGTAAAAAAAAGGCTCTCAGAGCAGTGCGCATACACTTGCTCACCGAACGACTTTGCCAGACCTGCCAACTGCAATAGATCATTGTGAGAGCCTTCAATGGATGAATTGATTGTACGAATGACCATATTTCGAATGCCTGGAAGGTTTGGGTCTCTGCGGGATCTTGAAAAATCGTAATCCCTTTCTGCACTTTCAGCTGCGGCCGCTTTTATCTTCAATGCATCGAGAACTGATCGTGCCTGTTCTCCCGGCAATTCATCTACCAGCCTTGTCGCAACGTCCACCAGACTGCTAACGAGGCTCCGCCGAGCCCTCAACGTCTCCAATTCCCCATCTTCCGGGAACCCCGGGACAGGTGTGGGTTCTAGGATTTCGTAGGGCGGCACCATGACGACTGCTGGAGGGACAGGAGGTTCCACATACGCTACTTCTGGCACGCCAGGCGCTGGACCTGGCATTGGTTGTTCTGGAGGCAGTGGCAAGGTAGGTGGTATTGGTGTAGGTTCTACAAGTTGTGGCTGAGTCGGTTGTTGGAAAGGTTCTTCTTCTTCCACTTGCTCTTCAATACCGGGCTGCACCTGGGTAGGGGCCTCGGGAGGAGGCATCTCCTTCCGGACAACTTCCCTCCGAGTCTTCCTTGCACGAGTTACCGGCCGCTGCACGAATTCCTCTGGCTGTCCATCGGCACCACGTTCCTCTGGTTGTTTTTCAGGTGGAACTTCCGCTTTTGGTTTACGCCTCGGTCTCGGCACGGGAACCTGCGTAGGAACTTGTGGCAGAGGTACTTCTTTCGCAGGTTCGTCTGGCTGCAAAACTACCTGTTCCGGTGAAGGCTCCTCTTCTGGAACAGACTTTTCTTCCTCTTCTTCTGCCTCTTCTTTTCCTTCTTCCTCTTTCGCTTGGGGTTCCTCTCGGGGAGGTCTAACTTCTTCTTCAACCTTCCTTTTGCGCTCTCGCTCCCTGCGAAGTACAATTGCCCTTATTAAGATTAAGAAAAGCACAGTGAAAGCAATTACGTGGCGTCGATTCTTTGTAAGGAGTACCGTCGCCAACTGGGAATCCATCATTTCATGCTGGGCAACCAGTTCTGCATGCAATTTAGCCATCGTATCGCCTGCTAGTCCTCCGGCAGTTTCCAATTCCGCATTCCCGTCGGCGGCCTTTTTTCTTGATGCCCCTGATGAGTACACATTCTGCTGCTCCACAAGCAAGAGCGCCACAAACCACAAGAAACACCTGCGTAATGCAGGCATATAAGACAACTGCTTCTTGCTCTTCATTGTTGCAATGACGTCAGTCGCACGGAGGAGCGTCGAACTCAGCAAACCCACGAACGAGTAGATGCCAATGTGCCCCTCCTAGGCTGCTCGTTTGGAGGGAGGTCGGTCTGCTGAGAACCCCCAATACATTTCGAGGATAAATGAGCGTTTCGGAAGCAGATCGTGCCAAAATAGTGCTATTTTTCAAGCGAATAACTCCCGCAAAATGAGCAGAGAATGATTAGGAAGGAAGGGGGCAGCCGAAGAGCCAACCTTCAACCTGGCGATGTAACTTGTGTGGGCCTCACGAAATTCTCCCTCACAAACGAATGACAGAGAAAACAATTGCTTATGGCTATTAAACACGAGAAGTAATTTGACAGAATTTGTTCTTAGACTCGAAACCTGCCGATTCTCGAGTGCTACATCTCTCGGGCTTGCCGCTCACGACACGATCGCAGCATCTGACGATCCCAGCGCCAGGGGCTGCGGAAGGTGTAGATCCGATAAATTCCCCCTTTTAAAAGTTTAAAAGACCAGTTGCTTGAATTTTATTCGCTACGATAGCAAAATAAGTTGAACATTTCCTCAATGTTCACCCCAGTCTGCGTATTCCCTCTTCCTTGTCGCTGGTACGTGTATTTCTGTTCACGTGCGAGAGACCCGCTGACGAAACAGTAAGTGTTTAACAACAGTATAGAGTGTCAAGACATTGATAAAGTGAGGCCTTGGGCAAGGGTGGATGTGGGATTCCCTTCCAGCAGCAGCTGCCCAATATAACGCGTGCTCTCTGGCCTTGACCAGTGCCAGAAGTATAACGTTGCTCTCTGGCCTCAATCAAGGACAGAAGCGAGCTTCGTTGTAGGTAAAGACCCAAAGCAAGATTCTCCCAAGGGCAGCAGACCTCCTTCCCCTGTCCTCGAGCCTCCTGTTCGGTGAGCTCAGGGCCTGTGTAGCATGAGTTAGCGCACCAGCTTTCCCTTGGCTTTGTTAGGTTGCGCGTAAACGCTTGCAAACGTTCTAAAAGTACTTTCAGAGGTAAGGCGTGCACCAAAGGAAGCTTCGGTGAAGCTTCTTTGCGTACAGGCTAAGGACAGGGGTCAGCTGTTTCTGTTGAACTCGCTTTAACTCTTTACCTACATTGCAGCTCGCCTCTGTGTTATACTTGGTAGCACCGCAACGCATGTAGGTAAAGACTTAAAACAAGAGTTTCCCAAAAGCAGCTGACCTCCTTCCCCTGTCCCCAGGCCTCCTGCGCCTTGAGCTCAGGGCCTGGGTATTGCGGGGAGGAGGCAGCCTGCAGTGGGGGTGCAGGGCACCACGCTGCGACTGGTGATACAAGCCAGCCTGACGCGTGCACACAAGGAAGCTTCAGCAAAGCTTCCTTTGCTGCATGCTTTACCTCTGTACTTATAGAACGTCTGCATTTGCTTACACGCAAGGTACCAAGGCCAAGTGAAGGCTTCTGCGCCAACTCATGCTACAGTCAGGGAGTCGCATGTAGGGACCGAGCTCGACATAGCTTGCTACGCTAACTGTCTGCTCGTTGGGGCAGTTTCTGAGTCTACGTTTCGCCCATAAAGGCAATCCTAAGAGAGTCATTCTGTAAACGACGAGCAGCAGAAGCTAAATACATAACGCAGCAGCAGCAGCAATAGCAGCAGTCATCCCTGCTGCTATTGCAACAGGAGCAGTAAAAGCAGCAACAACAACAGCAGCAGAAGCGGCAACAGTGGCAGCTGCAACAGCAACAAGAACAAAAGCAGCAGCAGCAGGCGCAGCTGCAGCACTGGAAGCAGCGGAAGCAGCTCGGGAGAGGGGACAGCAGCATACAGGCAAACAAAAAGAGAGGCAAACAACAGGAAAGAAACAAACAGAAAGGAAGATACGAGCAAGAAGGGAGATACAAACAAGAAGGGGACAAATAGAAAAACGAAAGAAGAAAAATTCTGATGCGGATTCGTTTGTCGTTGTCTTGTTTCTTCCTTCACCTCCTCCGCCATATCCTGCAAGCACCCCCATAAACCCTAAACCCTAAGCGCAAGATCCTAGTCGACTGGTGATAGGAGTGCCATGTTGGTTTTAGGTTTTAGGAGTACTTAAGGGCCCCCTAAGGGCCCGTCGAATATCTCTTAAGGGCCTCGAATGCCTTTAGGCTCACCCCTCATCCTTTGGGGTCCCCTACGGTGCCCTTCGGGGCCTTGCTGTCGCATGGGGCCCCCCATGGCATTGTGGGGACCCTTGTGGCGTTCGGGGCCTGCATTTGGCCCCTAAAGCGGTACTGCGCTGCTAGAGGGCCACCCGGAGATTGCGATCTCATAACGGGGACTTCTTGCGCTGCTGAGTAGGCCACAAGGCCTGGACCAGGGCTGTTACAAAGGCCTCCCCGTCTCCCCTAACAAGCAGCAGCAGCAGAAGCTGTAGGAGCCGCAGCAGCAGCTAGCACTGGAAGTTGTGCAACCCCCGGAAAAAGAAGACAACGCAGATAAAGAGGCGCCAAAGTGCCCCTCAAATGTGTTAAGACCGCTGTTGCTGCTGTTGCTGTTGCTGCTGTTGCTGTTGCTGCTGCCGCTGCTCGATGGACAGAAGCGAGACGATATCCACCGAGCTGCAGTTGCCTGCCTTCCATAGCAGAAGGGAGGAGGGGGAAGGAGCTCCCGATTGACAAGGTGTTGCTGCTCCGGTTGCTGCTGCTGCTGCAGAAGGCCCTTCCGTTTGAAGTGGCTGCGGGGGTATTATGGGCAAACGACCCGCCGTAGTAACGAAGGCACGACCCAGCTGCTGCTGCAGGGTGGTATACACAGACAGCCGCAAGCAGTAGCAACAGCCGCAGAAGGCGATGGAGACAGCGAGATCTGCTGCAGCTGGTAGCATTGCCTCCCTCCTTCAAGCATGAGAGTACCTGGATATGCATCTACTCGCCAGCCACAGTGAGCCTATTCAAGCTCACTGCGGCAGGACAGCTATAATATAGAAAAAGAAAAAGCGTGGGTATTCGGCCAACACTGCAAAAAGCTATGCAAACAATGGAGCAGTGCCGGACACGTAACGCCACCCGGCTGCCTGAGCGGAGAAAACAGAGAATTAGGCATCGCGCGAAGAAGACGCACCAATAGCTCTACAGAACAAACATTGCGTATTGTTCGCGCGACGGGATAGTCCTGCTGGCGTCAAATCCACATCGGCGCAAACAGTGTCGGAATATAAGCCCTTCCTCTTGCCAGAAATGTTTACTAAGAGATGCCAATGGGAGAGATAAATTCGCCAGTAAGCGGGTTAAGGCACATTATTGAAGCTTACGTAGAACTCTGCACTCAAAGCCAATACTTATACAGGCCCGTCGCAATATCAACACTATTTCATTGAGTAGCAAGGATATATCAGGGATGACGACAGACGACAGCGGTGCGTTGGCGCCTCGAGCTTGTTCTAACCCTGCGCTGCATCATGAAGATCAACGCGCGCTTTCTCCATTGCCTCTTTAAGTTGAGTGGCTCTTTCCATTTCAACCAGACTCCATATTTTCAAGCATGTCTGTAGCATTGTGGCTGCATATTCAGGTATCGGGTCAAAATCTTGGCTTCCCCTGGCCAGTGTCTTTTCAGAATCGAATCGTGACTTCAGTTCCCCTATCTCAATCGCCGCCTGTGATTCGCGCCGGAGTGGATAAATCAATGCAGCGTTCACAATACTCTCATACGCCTCAAATTCCTTTCCTAATCTGTTGTAATATCGCATTAGCATTGACGGGACCCCTGTCTCTGCTTTCTTCCTCGCCGTCTCCACCCTCAGGTTCGTTTTCTTATCCAGCGCAGTGGATCCAAATCCCTCTTTATCGAATTTGTACTTTGCCCCCTTCTTCGCCTTCTCCAGCATATCTTGCACCCTCGTCCACTGATCCTTCGCAAAGATTTCGAGGCGGCGCCACTGCTCGGAAAAATGCTTCTTCACATCACTTGCAATAGCGCTGTCAGGGAAGAACGCACTCTCTCCTTGCTCAGCAGTACCGGCTTTTTTCTTAGTTGTCAGCTTTTGCAACAACGCCTTGCCACCAAATCCCCCGGGTCCCTCTTCATATTTTCCGCTAACCTCTGAATTCACAATCTGCATGTAGCGCCAGCATTCTTCGCCTTCGTCGACGGCAGTGTCAGCAATTTTCGCCATCGCCTCAGCCGCAGCATTTGCCTCTTCCTTGGTGAGCGGCTGGCGCTCCAGAGCTGCACGCAACTTGTCCTTCTGCACATCCAATATGCCTTCGAGCTTTTGGTTGAACATCATCGCGTTTTCATACATAGCGGCGACAGTGTCGAAGCTTGTCGCCTTTTCCATAGCTTGCACGTCCTCATGCTGCCGAATAAACATACCCCTTATGGCTTCCATATCTGCGGCTGTTATTCCAGAAGCTGTCTGACCCGGAGGTGCTGGACGGCTCTTGGAGAATAGTACATTAAGTTCCTGAACCAAATTTGCATCCACCTCGAGCGGTATCCGGGAGAGCTGAAGCCTCCCCTTCATCCACATCTTCTGCATATCTAGAATATCTTTGTTCAATGCGGCATCCAGTTCAGCCAAGCGCTGCAAGATTTTCATCCTGAAGTTCAAGGCAGCAACGGCTGCGTAAATATCGACGAAATCATCTGCTTCGCACTCATCTATGAATTCTGCTGACCTCAAGATCCTAAGCTGCGTGTCATTCTCCTGTATCACTGTTAGAGCGGTATTTTCCACCGAAGACAGCGTCGCTACAGACAATTTAATTGGGACCGCATCCAAGCACTTCTCCAGAGGATACCGCAAACGATCGACATTCGTAAAAGAAAAATTCTTGGAGCAGTACTCATGCACTTGTTCACCGTACGACTTTGCCAGATCTGCCAACTGCAATAGATCATTGCGGGAGCCTTCAATGGATGAGTTTATTGCATTGATGACCGTATTTCGAATGCCTGGAAGGTTTGGATCTCTGCGGGATCTTGCAAAATCGTAATCCCTTTCTGCATTTTCAGCTGTGGCCGCTTTTATCTTCAATGCATTGAGAACTGATCGTGCCGGTTCTCCCGGCAATTCATCTACCAGCCTTGTCGCAACGTCCACCAGACTGCTAACGAGGCTCCGCCGAGCCCTCAATTCTGGCAGCTCCTCGTCCTCGTGGATAGCCGTCACAGGAGCGGGTTCTCGGACTTCGTGGGGCGGCACAGTGACGACTGCTGGAGGGACAGAAGGTTCCACATACGCTACTTCTGGCACGCCAGGCGCTGGACCTGGCATTGGTTGTTCTGGAGGCAGTGGC